TACAGACGAGGAACTAAGGCAGCCTCATAGGAGCTGCGACGTTCCTACTGAAAATAGCCTAAAAATCACCGTTTCATAGAAACTTTATATAGAGCTGCTCAGGCTGCTATCGGTTTTTTGTTTCAGTGAAATTCCTCAACTTTGGCTCACCGATCGATTCACTGTTTTCAAGGCAATCCCTATAGGGGATACTGTAGTGAAACTGTTTTAGTTTGCTGAGTGATCCTGATACTCTCAAATCAAACCAGGAATCTCTTCGGCTGCGGAATGTGGAGGCATGCAAGAATTGGACTCTGGGGGAATGTCATTCGATCAGATAGGACAGATTTCAAAAGCTGACCTTCTTTTGATGTAACAGACGCGAAGAATGTAGGAAAGATATGCGTCTGGATTAGTCAGCCTTTGCAGGATCCGAGAAGAAGCTGAGTGACAGCAAACGAACGAAGTATTGCAGGAAATGCTCATACATTGCTTTATTTCTCGTAAAAAAATCATAAAATTTTTGGCTAAAAATCAAGTGCGAGTACAAAATCTTCATAAAAAATTTTTTTTCTTGCTCAGTCTTGAAAACGAATGCAAATAATGTTGTGTTTCTGCTAATGAATGCAATGCGAAGTATGTAGCATGTGGTCTCATCCAGCAAACATATGAGTTTTTCTAACGTTTCGTCCACAGACAGTAACATTTGCGTTGTATTGGCTGTTGCTCTTATCAGTTCGAGGTGGCGGTCTGTCGAAGTCCCGTGACGGTCTATGGAAGAACGTATAAATCCGCATTTGCAGATTTTGACTCATTCTGCCAAGCACCCTTGTGGCAAAGTAGTTCTTCTTTTAGTCTGTTACGCTATCCATAGTTGGATCATGGTCTTCATTTCCTAAGGAAGTTTAGGCAACTCAAATATATGCGGGACTATTTCTTTCTGCCTCTCATCTTGGGCTAAAACGAGCTGCATTTTTTTTACACTCTTCAAAATGTCCGGCAAAAACATCTAGCCTAGTCAGTTGGAGGAACCAAGGAAAAAACCTTTCGTACGTGTAGAAATGCCTTCCGAAAGCAGCTCGATCGTCTTTTGTTTTGTCTTGGAAGAAATGTAAGCAGTACTTCAGTCGCGTATCACTTCAAGCTGTTCGTTTCTTACTCATTTTCTATCTTTTATCCCATATCAAAAATATGGATGAAAAAGGTGTATATGCAGAAATTCTGAGATTTTTACACCCTTCTTTCTAGCCGTTTGAATTTCAAATTCTCCCACCTGAAGCTGATACTTAATTTCAGTAATTACTACTTACTTAATCAATGCGCAGAAATGCGCCTAAAGCCTAGTGAGTTCAAAAAAGTATAAGCGATCAAGTCCTAAAAGTATTCATGATTCCTTGGTTTTCGAATAAATACAAATAAAGAGAACCGTAAACTGTAATTTCCGTCATTTTTATAATAATTCTTTCAGTTTATGAACTTGATTTTTCTTATAGTAGTCGCTTCAGGCATCATGGATTGGAGCGCAGATGAGAAGAAACCTTTGGTGGAGGAAAATTCAAAGGAAACCTTAGATGCAAAAGCAGAAGATGTAAAATATCGTGTAGTTATTACCTGGCACTACTCTAAGACAAAGTTAGTTGATTTTGTACGGAAGCACATGTAGAGGAAAATCTTCATTATAAGTTTTTTAAGTGAACCTAACCGCGTCTACGTCTGCGGTTCATGGGATGGTTGGGATAGTCGTCTGAGACTACACAAAAATGATGACATATTCTCCACTGTACTCCATCTTTCTCCAGGTACATAGTATAAATAATTTTTCTGAATCTTTGCAATCACATTCCAGGTTACTATGAGTACAAATTTTGCGTGGATAACGAATGGTTGACCAATGAACATCTTCCTTTTACGGATGTCGGTTACTACAGCAGAAACATCATCACCGTCAAAGAAGACGAAAACGAAGCAGTAGAGCAGACGAGAACTATTTAGTATAGATTGTTTTTGATTCGCGACTGCTTAGATTTATTGCATTAATTGCTCTTAGAAATTGCTCATAAAATCGATTTTACCTTGATAAAGCTTGATTAGCAACCCTATCTTCATATCTATCATATTCATACCTATCATATCTATAGACAAAAACACCTAAAGAGTCTCAGATGACCCAACACTGACGTCAATTTTGTTAGAGTATCAGCTATCAGATCACATCCACAATATAACCAGAGTACGCGTATTCACTACATCAGAGCTTCTGTGAGCTTCATTTCAAGTTAAGAAGCAGTCGATAGTTAAAAATATCCCCAATCTCTTTGTGTTCTCCTCATTTGATGCCTTGATGTATACTGTGCAGAATACTACTCTGAAAATAGTTGTTCGCTCACAGCTGTTTATTGTTTTACATGCTCAAATGCAAGCAAAGAAAAAGCCGACAAACTTGGTTCCAAAGCCAATTTTCGAAGCTATTCTTTGTCATTTATCTTACATAATCGGAAGCCGGCACGAGAATGGCAATCAGACCTTCACACAAGGAATTCCTTTCACACATCAGAATTCCATGATCCTAGATGCGATGAAGTGCAATGTACAGCCGAGTATATACTCTGGTAGGGCTTCGCAGGCTGTGGAAGAAGTCAACATTTACATTTTCACCCGGATGCCTAGCTAAGAGCGGACCAGACCATATACCGCCTTCTGACTTCTCTGATGGATAGGCAATCCCCGCTTCACCAGGATTAGCAATCGTTCCGTGGAAACAAGAGTAGTCCAGTCTGCTCTTGTAGGGAGGAAATCTCGCCATTCCACCAGCTAGCAGTAGTGAAAGAAATCGCGGACACAAGCTCGCCTACGGCGCCATGTGGTAGCAAGAACGATGTCAGATCCTCAGGGCGCCGTTTAAATCTAACAGATACACGTCTTCCCGGGCGACACGCCATGGATACTGTCTAATGCTATGCACCTAAAATGCCAGTACAGTCTTCACAAACGCCGACCTCATGCTCTTCCCGACAAGACAGACCAGATAGTACCCATCATCGTTTTGCAGGAAACGAAGTCCAGGAAGACGAACGTGCGACAGATGAGTGGTGGAACCGTCATCGTTCGTAGTGAGCGGTCCCATCATGAAACGTTGAAGGCTAGTCTTTGTCTTCTACCCATCCGTCGTCCATCTTGTCGATTCGCATAATCGTATCACCATCCTACAATTACGACCTCCGCGTCAGATGACGATCAGATCGGCTGCTATTACCCAACACCAGCATCTGACTAATCAAAGCTAGATGCTTTTAAGAAGAAAGACGTGGAGGAGGCCGTCTGCAGCGAGAAGACCTTTTACAAGTTAGCCGTGGGCGTCTTCAGCGCGAAATCTGGATGCCATG